ATTATTATTATTATTATTATTATTATTATTATTATATTACTGGATAGGAAAAGAATACATGGTGGATATTACTGGCCATAGATATTACAAGATAAGCAATGCATACGACTAGTTGGCAGATATTATTGGCTCTCTGCATACTCAGTGAATACGAATCGAACATCGTGGGTTTGAATCCCGCTTCGGGCATGGCTGATGCTTTACAATTGTGTCATGGCGGGGCCTTCCTAAACCAGCATGTATCACTTTCAAAAACCCTAATCCTTCCCAGCCTGAGAGAACGTGTGAGTAAAGTTGGAGGGCACGGGAGGGCGTGCGAGGGGAGGAAGTTCCGTAATGCGAGGCCTGCTACGCGAGCGCCCCCTGGCCGCTTCCCCCCCCGCCCACCTCTCCACCTCACACGAGGATCGGGGCTTACGAGACACTTCTCGGCTGGAGTGCGCTTACGAGGCACCGCAGGCTTATAGAGAGGAGGCGAGGGTGACGTTTCCTATGGTGCAGTGCCGACAGGCCCGCCTCCCGACAGGCCTGCTTCAAGTGTAAGCCATAGGCGCTTCTCAGCGACGTGTGGTCGTTTATTACAATACGCTCGCGGAATCCCTTTGTTGTTCGTGGCCTAACTTAATATCCTCAATACAATTGAAATTATTGTATCAAAAGAAAGCGAGTTGCCATCACAGGTAGATCACCATATTCATGTTCTTTTAATTAGTTATTATTACTATTATTATATTTATTATTATTACTATTATTATTATACAAAATTCACAAATCTGATCAAAAAGTATTCTAACTTCTCAGTGTCAGTCAGTGACTGAGATTAGAATGATTTCTTTGAATAGTAAACTATTTATGGGTGTCTTCGCTCGCTTTACATTTCGTGTCATGTGCGTCCCCCTCCCTCTCCCCTCTGCACCGCAACCGGCAAGAAGGCGCGAGCCTCACTCCAACGTGCGGCACTTGTTTCTGCTATCAAATACGAGAAACAAATTGTGAGAGGCTGAATGATCTACATTTTGGCTTTCAGGGTGACTATACTAAAGGTTCGTAAGTGCGAATAGAAAGAAGGTCGAAAATAAGATCGATCATGCTTCTTTTCGCTACGCACAACAAAACGACCATTGATTTTGACGCTAGAATGTCTTGCACAACCGTAGATTAAAAAGCTCAAAAGGCTGACGATACACTGTAGATCAGATGTGCAGTTGCTTTTGCGCATCGCAGATTAGTATGTTCGTGTGTTTCTGAGCCTGTAAAGAAGCTATTTTCTTGGCCGGTTTCTTGATGAAGAAACTATGCTGAACACAGACAAAACCATTGTGAATGTGAAGTGCGACGGAGCGAAGTAAATGATCACAGGTAGATGTGAAATGGCAGCTAACGTGCAAAAAGTACGTAAATTGAATTTTTATGGGTACAATAATCTTCAATGCCGAAAAAATAACACTTGGATGTCAAAAGATATTATGTAATTTAAATGTTACAATGGAATTGAAAATATTTTATTATTATTGAAAATTTAAAATAAAAGACGGTTTTAATGTTGTGTGGCATCGTTATTCTTAATTATGCTGTCAGTACATCCTACTGTAATTATTTTTCTCAGTTTTTCATCGTTATTGTACTTTGGCACACTAGCTCTTTACGAGCTAAGGCCTACCAGCAGCGCCCCTGCCATGCGGCCGTGGGGGCCACGTGCGGTTAGCACATAGAAATCCCTACATTGTATTTCTGATATTCTGAACCTGAGAAGTGAGCTTCCTTATCGTCAGGAAGCAACAGAAACTGGCACATTGCTAGGAAAGCGCGCAATTAATTTTTTCCCCGACTGGGCTTCGAACCCGTGGTTGCGCAATTTTCATCGTTATTAACATAAAATCAGAAAATTTCGATGTTTAAGGAAGTGCAAAGCGAGCGTGTGAATATGAGTAATCGAGGTGGGACAAATAGGCGAATTCCAGTCACTACTGAAGGGTCAAAGCGGTGATTACAGTGAAAGCGCACAGGATGATACTACGCAAGTTTATATTTATTGTGTCCAGAAAAAATACACCAACAAGTAAATCAACAACAGAAGTTTATTACTTACTTTTTACAAGCCAAATCGTACCAATACAGTGCTCACAACCATGTTTACATATCTGGTATATACATACCAGAAGATATCCAACAAAACAAGCACGGTCGTTGTCGCCAGGAGATTTACCAGTACAATCCAAAGTAACCAAAATCCAAAGAGAACCAACAATATAACGAGGCACGTTCCGCATAGGCACAATCAGAATAATAGATATAACACAGAGATCTATCTCAATACAATACCACTGTCCGTCACCTGTCGCCTCTTGTATACGCCAGGCGACGTCACTACCAGAGACTCGCTCCTGCCTCTGGTTATGGTGGCGGCGTTTGCCACTACTAGAGCCCACAATGTGTGCGCAATATTGAAAACAAAATGACTGATATAAAGTTTCGAAATTTGCTGTATAAAGATTGATTTTCTTTGATTTACCTTTCAATTCTTCACTCCAACTCTCGTGTCTTCCTTTCTCCATCTTCACCGCGCTATAACTATTTCTTAGCAAAGTGAGAATACGGACTTTCTAACTGAAGGGCGCATTGGCATAAAATAAATAATTTCTTTTCGGTTGAGCCCCGTGCAACCTGGGTGACGCGATCCCTCAATCTCCAAACCAAAGTGGGGGGTTCTATTGATTAAACGAAGCCTCTGCAAGAATAATTTAGGACGTTTGGAAAAAATAATTGGCTTTAGAGGGAAATGCTTATAACGAAAATAATTTTTCCAAGCATTTAGATGAATCGCTTATCTTCCTAAACGTGGCCACACATATCCCCACTTCTCGGGGCGTTCGGCCGGCCAAATAGGAAGTGTGTAATGGGCAGGTTTCGTCGAAGAAATGTTAGGTAGATTGTGAGGCGGTTGGAGGTTTCATTTGGCGCGGAGGTTTCATGGGCGGTTGTTTACTGCCAGTCAATCAACCTCTGATCCCCATCACACACACACACACACACACACACACACACACACACACACACATTGCCCGACGTATTGTGAGAAGCGGCATAGGATGAGTTGGGTCGAGCGAGTGGACTATAGTTATATGTGTGGAATATACTTATATCGACCCTTCCCAAACATTCCTAAGATAACTCGTTAATTTAATTAGCACGAAGGACCGCCCAGACATTTGTAATAATAATGGCTGTTACTATTACTGCACGTCTAGAACTGCAAGGAGGGAATTTTGAGTGATTGCTTGATACCATTAGGTAATAGATTGAACACATAAATGCATATATTTAAGTGAATAAATAGACACATTTCTTCTCACATGAGTTAAAAATATTAAATTGAAGTAGTATTTAATTGAAGACAACATTAAAGTTTAACTACAGATAGGCTGCGTAATTGAGGTTTGGTTGTGAGATACCAATTGGCACGTTGGGCATCACGTTCAGCAGTTTGGTGGATACCAGCAGGAGAGGCACACCTGTTGATGTGATGAAACTTCAAATAACAGGCATATCAACCCAGGCCTGTCACAGACAAGCGGAGAGATCCCATAAGTCTTGTGGTGGAGATGTTTTACTAGAAGGTAGCACTGAAGATATGTTGCAATGACACGTGCACACTTCGGAACAGGCAGGAGAGCCGAAAAGGAACTGTTTATAATTACGCATGCAATATAATTGCGTTGCGTATTAAAATGTTAGTAGCACGATAGTGTGCAACAGTTTACATAAAAAGATTGCTGCTTACTAGAACGAAGCACTGTGGACATGTTGCAGAAATACTCGAACACGTCTGCAGAAATGCCGAACCAAGATATTGTTTATAGTTGCGCGTGCAATATAATTGCATTGCGATACGATAAGTTTGTTATTCTGCAGAAACTGATGAAGCGTGCACTGTATAAATTGAATAATAAATTTAGTAATAATAAATTATGTAAGTAATGATGAATTAGCTTTGCTTGCTCTAACAGGCATCATATGCAACTAGTGCACTGGTTAAGAGAACCTCCTGAAAATTGTTTTAGGACACTAAAAATTACTAGTCTTTTCGGTTAGGCACTCGACAGACGAGCAAAATATTTTGCCGGGGTCTTTGCGCTGCGCCATCGTCTTGGTGCGCTGTAGGAATTCGACATCGATGCAAATGAGTTTTTAAGATCGATCTATTGAAGCCTTTTTTTATCATCACTGTTTGCGATCGATAATTTTTCGTGAATAATAACAGTTTTGTAAAAGTGAAAATATGTAATAACAATTGTTAGACACTCTGACAGTGTATGTGTTTGGACCAAACGAACGTGGTTTGCTCTGCCTTCGTCAAGCAGGCGATCTCTCGCCCGGGATGATCACGATGCGCCGTTATTTCCTTCGCATTTCCTCAAATTTCGCACATGAAGAAGCTTTTCTAATTGTGGTTTGAGACAAATTTTTATAAACTAAAATTTGCTGGCGTTGTCAATTTTAATTTTGTTGATCAGAAATTTAATGTTAGAGGTTACTAAATCAGCTTTAAATTGTCGATGTTTAAAAACATTCTTTTTTGGTCGATATATTATTACCATCGATGTTTTGTTATCGATGTCGCATTACTAGTGTGCTTCACCGATTGAACTGGCCGGTTGATCTAAGATGCGGAGGCGTAAAAGGAATTTAATCATGTAGATCGACACTCCCGAACATGCAACACGTCTGTCAGGGGTCTTCTGTGCATCCTCACTCTTAGCTATTCGGCCTCAACGGTTTTCATTTCATCTGTGACACCAACGCATAGGGTGGAAGATATCTCAAAACAAATTTAAAGAAAAACAAATAAATAAATAAAATTGTTGATCATCTTTTACCGTGGGCCGAGTCTTTGTACACAGCGCCTATTCAAAATGTGAATAACGATTGAACTGATTGACAATTGTGCTAGGGGCGGCTAGGTGAGGCGAGTGTTGATCTAGCGGGTCTAGGTGCGCGAGCCTCGTCCCCATCCGCCCCGGCGGAGGATGGAGGCAGGAGGGCGACGCGACGGGCCGCTCTCCCCCCTCCCCTCCTCCTCTGCCGCGGGGCGCAGCGGAAGGCGGGCCAAGGGATCGATAGCTGCGGAGCTGCGACGCCTCACACGACGCGCGGGCGCCCGCTCCAATCTGCGCGGCTCCACTGCGCTCCGGCGCTGGGCGGGCGCGCTCACAACGCACATCCAGCCCGGCGAGTGGCGGCTCGCGTTACCAACACTTCTCCACTTGCGACAGGTCGAGTCGCGTGATGGTTTGCGTGTGAGATACCGGCTTTCTTTTGATAACATTTCATGTATGGAAAGCTGTTTATTATCTATTTATGTGTGCCTAAAAAAAAAGTTTGTGACGTATAGGGAAAACCTGCGCATCCCTTGATGGGTTCCAGAATTAATAAACCTCTCTTTCACTAGGCATACTTACATTATGAATAAAGCTACCATTGGACATGTGGTTGGCAATATTTAAAATTAGTGATTCTAAAACAACACATACACTCGCGTCCGTTAGAAACGGTTATGTAATAATATTAATCCGCATTTCTGTCTGTATTAACACATCTCAGTCGATGAGCTGTACTCTCCAAAATTAAAATATTGGTTTCTAATTTCCGAGTTCTGCGACATCAGCTAGAACGATTGAGGAATATCAATTTTGGAGAAAATCGTCTGAACGGTTGATGTGCTAGCGTTGTGCAGAGACGGACGGACGTTTTGCCGTCAATCGATTTTTCGGTATCAAGGACGCACAAAACATGGGTTCTGGCTACACTACGTGTTAGAGGAAAATTTTCTATATTTAGCAACTGGATTTATCCACTTTTTCCTTACCAAAGCAGTTAAAGTTATTGTGTCGAAAATTCGCCTTTTCCCGGTTCACGATTACAATATACTATAACTCTTTTTATGTTAGTAAGTGCAAAAAATACATATATAAATTTTCGCTCCCGCGTATCAGAAAGATATAATATTATTTTACGCTATTCGTCATGCGAGTCTCATTTTATGCGAAACCAAATGTTTTCGTGGGTTTCACGTCATTTCACGTGGGGGTAAAATAAGTTTCCCTTTATAAAAAAATCAGTTTCAAAAATGTTTTAAAATATCCAATAATTTGTACTGATATATTAATAGATTAATCTTATAATTAATTTAGAATAAAATAATATCTTAATAATTTTGACAAAAAAAATTAGTATTAGGGGACAACTGTACCAGAACCAGAATTTGAAGCATTCGCTAATTAAATGTAGAAAGGTTTTGAATATTTACTACTACTTCTTTTATTGAATTAAACCTTTCCCACACATGCATTTTACGAGAAAAACTCATATTACAATTGGCGGAGTTGGTGTGCTGCAGTGTACTAAGAATTGTTAGGCGTTACCTATTAGCACATCATTATCCAGTCGTTCCTTCCCTAGCTCTAATGATCTTACCATTCTCGAAGGAACAGTTGCAGAATACGAGCTACAAATCTCGTTTGATGTAAGTAAATTCTGGGGATTTCACCATCAGTCAGAAATAAAAGGGACATGATGAGATTAATACATATAATTGAAATGAAAATAAGTTATTACAATACTTAACAAAGTCTTGCTGCATGAGCCATCAATTTGTTTCGTAAGAGAGACATGAAGTGCCCGGTCATTGATTACTCTCAATCAATTAATAATACTGTGAATAGTTCGAGCTATCGGAAGCAATGCATATAAGTTGCCCAGAAGCGTAGTAATTGTGTTTGCACAAAATACATTTCACTGACATGGTTGACAACAGTTAATATTTCCTTATGAAAGGCGTTAGGTAGAAGAAAATGAGTTATATAGTGCAATTAACCAGTTCGCCGCTCAAAAGCGACGTAGGTCTGCTCCGAATGCAACTCATCGTGCGAGTGACAGAGCGAGAGAGTTGGGAAGGACTGCGCCGCCGCACTTGGCGCCTGTGTTTGATTTTCGACATTTGCAGACGAGCAAAGCACGCGAGAGTTGAATCAAAGTGAAAGATTTGTAATTCATTAATACATTAAATAACAGGATTGTGCTTGGATTTAAATTGCAGAATCTATGAGACTACTTTTATTATTTATCTTTGCTAAGTGGGATTGTTGCAATTGCGCCGCTGACGGCGCATGGCCCGCCAGTAGCTGTTTCTGAGAACAGACAGGCGAGACGGGCTTGGATGGAATTCGGAAAAATTACCGGGCGCTGCTGTGTTCTCGCCTGAGCATCGGCTCATGAAAATTGCAGTTCATTATATCCTTTTAATTCTACGAAATCTGGATCAATCCTTTTGATAGCTCGAACCTCCATATGTATAAAAATTAGATTAATATAGGGTTCTCTTGGGATTTGTTTCTGAGGACAATGTTTTCAAGTACCTGTTCTTTTTTTAAAAAAATGAAAGGTTAATTAAAGGAGAAATACGATAGTGTTTTTACACCAAGATTAAAAGTGTTTTCAAAAAGGAAAAAAATATTTATTAAATAAAGATGCATAAATGCAAAATGCAAAAAAATTAAGAAAGCATACAATAATTCAGAATTATATGAAAGGCAGAATGTTAGAATTATATGAAATCTTATTTCAAGTCATATCCGACGGTGATCATCTTCAGACTCTCACTGGAAAAAAATCGTATTGAACTTGCAATTTTATGAAAACTCTCTCGATAAAGGAAATTATGTCAGTTTTCTAAAATCAAGTATACGAATGGTAAATTCTGGATCAGGTTTATTGTGGTTATTGTTCGTGATTGAGTATGTGGATGAAAATTATACAATATGAAATTTAAATATGTATTGTGAACATTCAATACTATATTAAAATCAAGCATTTGTACTTTTTCCATAGTCAAGAGACTCGTTAAAAATTAAACGACAATTAAGAGAAAATTTAACTATATTTATTAGAAAAAATGGACTTACGACTTCTGTTCTGTCTCATTCTCTAAACTGTTTTATTTTCCTCGTACATCATCTTTCGTACATCAAGATTTCTTCCCTTGCATCGCACTATGTTAATGACATGCAAGATGAGCTCTGAGGGGTTCTTGTATTCATATTTGCGTGTCTTCTTCGCCGCTTCTTGTCGTGTGCCGGCGCTCAGATGCCGGTGTGCTGATGAATCCAGGGTCTGTAAGCCTGTACAGACATGTACACTGCCCAGGACCCGACTTCATTGCAGTGCAGGTTTGGGTCCAGCATGGGGTCGTCGTTCACATTGTCAACGTATGATGCCACTCCGTAGAATACTCCGTTCACCATTAGGGGCCCACCAGAATCTCCCTGCGGCAAAATATATGATGTTTTCCAAATGGAAGTAATACTAAGTAACGAAATAGAAAGTGCGAATCAATCCATTCTTAGTGGTCCATTAACCCATTAAACCATCTCAGAAAATGTAAACTTATGATGTAAAATGTACTCTTTGTAAATAACACTTATGTGTAGAGACACAGAAGAAATGAAGGCTCTACCCCTATTCCTTCTGTCAAAATGTACTCTCTGAAAATCGAAATGAGTTCATTTACGTTTGCTAGTGTGGATTGCAAATATTACTCGAATAAAACGTATTTGGTAGATAAATATCACTTTGATTTGTAGGCCCCAGTTTACTGAAATTTAAATTAAAAAGCTACAATAACCTAGGGAGAAAATGTACAAAACTGTAAATAACTCGAAAAATAGCGCATGGATTAAAACAAAAATGCCTGCCATTTGAGAACCTGATACAATAAAATTATTTAAAACAGTTTTGAACACCCAAGATGAAAGAAATTTCATTTTCAAAGAATGAACTTTCTCTGAGATGGTGAGGCGACCAATTTATTCAATTGCGGACCTCTTAAAATGGAATAACCCGTGCGCAAGAAACGTTGCACCTCTCAAACCTAATTCTCTATGCGATCTTTATGAGTGGAGATATATACCGAGACAACAGTTTATTTTTATTAGTAAATATGCCATGAATACGTCGGATATACAGAGTAAAACAATGGGTTTTCATCAGCGCAATTAACCGCTCTATTCAGAATAAAACTAGCAAAGTGACAAGTATTGACACGTGGCACTTTTCTTGTGCATTGACTACGTAACAATTCTAAAAATGATGATACTTAAAACATCTTTCCGTGGCCAAAAAGTTACATTATTCATATGCAAGTTACAAATTGGTCTCGTTCTGCGAAGTAATCTGTAAAGAGACCCACGAGATTTAAAATAAGTGAAGGGGCTTTCCCCCTCCAGGTTCCTCCCCCTTACAGTGGGGCACACCCTAGCCTGGACACACTCTAAGCTGTCTCTGATCTCCCGACATGTGTGGTAGTGAAGTTCTTGTAGTGTGTGTGTGTGTGTGTGTGTGTGTGTGTGTGAGTGAGTGAGTGAGTGAGTGTGTAAGTGGAAGGGAAGAGAAAGCGAAGATTGCGCGTGATCCGCGGCCGTTGGGTGCCAGCCGTACTGTGCCAGCATTCACATTCGTCAGAAAAGCCACGGAGTACTACCTATCGAAGAAGCCACGGCTGGAAGTATACTCCTTCATACAGCGGCTGAACTCGCTCCAGCTTTGTAGCTGGGGTTCCGCCACCATTGGAACTCGAACCCCTGGACCTCACAGTCCGAGTCGCAAAGAAAAAGAGAATTCAGTCGGTAGGCGAAGAAAGAGCAAAGACGGAAAAGCGATATCAAATCTTTGCTTTTTCAGTTAAAATCGAAATTATTAAATGGTTTTTGAATTTTTCCGCGAATTTCCTGCCTTCTAACGAAACCACATACATAGCCGGAGGTTGCATAGTTGTTGTTTTTCAATATTTGCGCGCATCGAGAAATAGTAATTTAGAGTTTAAATTGCATGTCTTCTGATTGATTCATTTAAAATAATTTCAAGCAAATACTAAATTGAATCCTCATTTTTATCTGTAGTAAAGCATTACTTCTTCCCCCAGCCATGAGGCGTTAATATATTTTAAACATCAATGGTGCATTAGAAGGTAAAAAAAAAACGTTTCAATTTCAGAATTCTGAAATGGTGGTGAACATAAAACTCATTTCTGCATATTGCCTCAATCAGCGACATATCCAATAATATAAAGTCAAGAAATATATTGTTGAAAGGAGTTAAGAATGCATTACTACTAGTACATAATACTTACTAGTATATTACATTGAAGTTCTCTCCAATATCTCCTCTGATAATTAAATATGAGTACAGGTGGGCTCGATTCTAAATAATATTGGCCACGACAATTGATTATTTTAATCTTTAACTGTACTGAAATTACTCAATTTGAGGAAAGTAAGATTCCCGGATGGATGAGGTAGACGGGGAAAAGGTTTGAAAGGTCACAGGAAAGGGCGAGGAAGTACAATGTGCCAAGGCACAGCATTGCCTAATACAATCGTGAAGATTACAGAAGTCATAACACTCAGTTTGAAAAAAAAATCTAAGGCAATGATAAATAATGACAAAAAAACTAAAACTGAACTGTAAACCCGAAAGTACTGCCTCCTAAATGAAAAGTACATTTGAAAATGTCTCGCACATCTTAATACGTTACTTACTTGCCGCGCTAATTGTCCTTGCAACGTGATTCTGTCTGTATGGACTCGATGTGAAATTGTCTTATTTGAGTTTTCATAGTCCGTGTAGCCACCCATTCATGCGAAGTATTAATGCCAACGTTATAATAATCTGTAGTTTATGGAGACCATTATGACGTTTTATGAAGAGACACTACGCTAGGGTTAAAAATTACACACATACTAGTAGCTCATCGAAACTCTTTGTTTTCAATACACAGTATTTTTGAAGTATTCTTAAACTCCTTGTGATTAATACGAAGTCTAATAAATTCAAAATATTGAAAATTATTGTTGGGGCTGACTGAGGAGGCTGTGGGCTGTTTATATGGCTCAGATGAGCTATCAGCCAGCTCCTTCCGCTTACTTTGGCAGCTTTGTTATTAACTCGAAGGACAACCGCGTATAAAGCAATGCGGGCGCATTCCCTATAAATGTTAGTACGTCACTATGCGGGAGATTTCAGTAGGCATGTGCTCATTGACGAGAACAACATTAAACTAAGATTACAATTATGATTAAAACTAAGATGAGAGCATTGAAATCATTGCAATAGCCGTAGGAATGTGCAGTTTAAGTTATAATTAACATTGAAAGATTGGAATGGCCGTGAGCATTTACAGTTGAAGGTTGGTTGTAGTTAACATTAAAAGATAGCAATGACCATATACAGTCTAAGACTTTAGTTTTTAGAGACAGTGGAAATAAATACGATTCTTGTACTCGCTGCTGTTGATATAAACACGCTGAAAGTTTCGTTTTGCTATGCTTGTTTTTACGTCAGATGGCAGTTTCAGCAGTATTTTCGTTAAAAATGTTGGTGAGCGGTAAGGAGAAATCGTTTCATACTCTTGAGTATCATCATAATCAACCATTACCATAGTCCAGCACCATTTTCGAATGAAATACGGAAAAAAACTTCTTTCAACAACTACTCGCAGGTGGTACGCTCAATTTGTGTACACTGCCTATTTGCGTAAAGGGCTAAGCAGTGCACGTCCCTCTGGGCCAGGAGCGGAACTGAATCGGATTATTACACTTATCGCCGTAGCACTAAAACATAGACTACTTGAGGGAGCAGAGAACTGATTACAGACTAGTTGTTACCTCGGTTGAAAGACCGCAGGAACGGTTTCCTACATCGGGATGGCGCATCACCTCATTTCTACAGACACGAAAGAGCAATTTCAAACGGGAAACTACCACAGACGTGGTTCTGACGCAGGACAGATCATGATCAGAAGCTCTTACCCTGGCCACCACGTTCCCCAGACCTTATGCCGTGAGATTTCTTTCTGTGGGAATATGTTAAAGATCGAGTTTTTATCCCTCCTCTGCTGACGAATATTCTAGAACTGAAGCAGCGCATCAGATTCAGCTTCCTAAGCATCACAGCTGAGATGTTGGAGCGTGTTTGGGATAAAATGGACTCTCGGGTGGATGTGTGTCGAGTGACCAAGGGCGCCCACTTAACATTTGTAATGTATGTAAAAAAATGATGGGTTCTAGTTCAAAATAAAATAAAGTTAACATTTCTGGGTCACCCTGTGTACTATAAGATTTTGAAACCCCGAGAACAATTTTGAATTACCAATGTAAGTATTTTGCGTATTTGGCAAAAATGATAAACAATTAATTTAATGATTTTCCTGTAATTTTTCAAATAGCTCTGATGATAGTTACGTTATCGCTAAAATACTCATTTAATAGCGGACAACACCTTTTATTTATGTAATTAATAATATCCCGAAAAAATTGACTATATTTGTATAAAACAAAATATACCGTAGTTGAATATCTGAAAAAGAAGTGGATAAATAATTATCAAATGGCGAATCACTGAAAGTGAGTGTGACGAGTTTTCCCAAGTGAAACCTACCATAATAAATTGCCAACGTTCATAAATATAATCGATACCGGTATCAGCAAATACCCTATGCCCCCCCCCACACACAATAGAATAAATTCAATGGAAAGATAAATATTTTCACAGTCTAATAAATTTCACACATCGTTGGCAAAAATAGAAAATAAAAATTCGAAATGAGCGTGTGGCCCTTGGCATAATTATGTTAATGTACCACAGTGTTAAATCGGTCCTGCGTTCAGAGTTTGGATTCGAAGAGACTCGCGATCCTTCCCATCTCCAATGACATTTCGCACACTCACCTGCCCATGCATAAGAATCTGCATTCAACGAGACAAAAAAAAGTGTGACTAATTGTAAATGAGAACTAAAAAGACGCTGCAAAGTACTTCGCAGGATGATAGAGAAGTGCCGGTTTGAGAACTCAATTATCCGTGCGTCGACGGTGAGTTTACAGCCAGTATTGGAAGTTGCTGTTCATTGTTTTACCTCGTAATTTCGCTGCGTACACAATAAGCCCATTGTTCCATCGCGCCCTCGCGGGTGTTAAACGCCGCTTGCGACGGTGCAGGCAACGTAGCGTGCCCTCGGCCCCGTCCAGGCCGCGCGGTACCGGGTCTGCGTTATCAATCGGGCAGAGAACGAGTGGAAGAACGCGTTTTCTGACGCCGAGTTTTTGCGCCTTGCTTTCCTCTTATTTTAGTTGGATTCAAAGTACACGTACAAGGTTATAATTTCCTTTAAAATTTGGAAAACGCTAGTTTGATTTGAGCAATTCTTGTCGTGATAAACCTGTTCAGATATACCTTCTGGACACTTCATGAACGTAACTTTTCTCCCTCTTAAACGTCACTTACTGTTTTAACTGTGTTTGATGTAAGGAGCCGTCCAAAAATCACGTACCACAAATTCGGAGTATTCTGAATACCCACTCTCCTCCCTTTAACCCCCCTCAAATCCCCTTAACCCTTACGTATTTGCAAAAAAACCAATTAACAATAATTAAAAATAAAATGTTAAATAGTAAAAACGAGTTGTATCACTTTATTTGTATTTTATATTAAAATTTCTGGTAATCTGAGTCAGAGTTAGTTGGCGATGCGGACTGCATCTAACAATAAGACTGGGACAATTTTTGAATGAAGGAAGGGCGCGTTGGCGTGAGCATTTCTGACCCCACGCCGTGTACACACTGCCTTGGATGACGCATGTGCTTCGAATATACTGCGCCAATTTAATTAAATACTTGAATAAATCAATTTTGGATATATTCTCCGTAATCTAGCACACTCAATAAATATACCATTGATTAAAACGTATTTCCTGCATTGTAACAATTTATTCACCACAATGTTTTAATTTGTTATATTTTTTAATTTAATTTATTATATTTTAATGTTTTAATTTAAGAATGAACAAAAGAAATTATTTTAGCAAATGTTGAAAATTTTTAAAATCGGCTTATGTGACATTAAACTATGACACCTACTGCTATGTAACTCGGCCTAAAGCTGCCTCAAACCGTCCTCAGCGTGATTTGTGGATGACCCTTGTAGTTATTAGCGACGTTATGACGACAAACAGCAAATAACAGAGGAGGATGACGTTAACGAGGCGGGCGATAGCCGAGATTTATGTCAAGCGAGATGTGTGTTATTGACCGTGTGTCGTTCAATACTTCACGTAGAACCATCTTAAAAAGTCTCATAAGAAACAAGTACAAATTCTTGGAAAAAGTACACTCAACCTCCGTCTTTTGCAGCAACTCATTTGTTTCTATTGTTCTTAACGTATGGTGGACTGATAAGCTCTTAATGGTAAAGATTGTTTTTCCTTAGTGTGCCTGGTTGCGTTGTGTCGATAATAAAAGCTGGTGCTGGAGATACCTGGAGTAGGAAACCACGCCTGCCTACATGTAGGTCGGCACAGCATCTTACGGTCTAGCGAGAGGGAAACATTGCCACTTCCACGGATATAACATGCACTATACATACGGGACTAATGATCGTAGTAATTGAGGTGTTCAGAAACACTGAATAATAAATAAATAAACTTCATACTGTTAATGTTTACATTATCAAATAAAAAACATTTCCTCCACAAATTATTACTAAATAATAGTAGCAAACTTCCACCATTTCTTCAAAGTCATAGGAACGAATCTGAGTACTTACGTCACATATGCCTGTCCCTGCGTCCGTCTGAATGCAGATTACGTGGGACACGTCCCCCGGGCACGGGAAGATGTGCACGTCCAACTTCTTGAGAACTGCTGTGGAGCCAGGATGAGCCTTTGGCACAAGACAGTCGCAGTTTCCACACACAATATTAGCATATGAAACAAGAAATAATGTACTAAAATCTAAATAGCATCAACGAATAGTGATTACCGGAAAAGGAGCCATAAGCAGATTAAAACCTGTGTTGTACTTGTGTGTTACAATCAAGTGAAACAGATTCTGCGGGGAGCGTAGAGCTACTGTTTATGCTGTCGCTCAAATCATAGCGTATTCATTTCATTGATAGTAAATTAATGACTTAAAATTGTTCGAATTTCAATCACGTGTTTGTGTACACATCACTACTGCCATCACAATAACTCGACATTGCACTGTCGTTTGAAGAAAATGTATTTTGACCGATCGCGGTAGGTTGGTGGGAGATCCATTCTCTCATTTCCTGATTTGCACAGCCACGAAGCGTAAGCGGAGCGAGAATCGCGAGAATTTCTGTCACGTCACAGGAATGGCAACGGCGACCTCCCAACCAGCGTTGCCTTAACGCCTTGCGCCTCCATGTTCCTCTCAGCGTCTAACTTCGCTCAGAGCCAGAAATGTTCGTTGTACCGATTGACCGAGAGGTCCTCGGGAACTCGAGTCTCCTCGGTGGCACATTTTCAGCGCCAGGTGGATAGAAAGGTCGAATTCAGCCGCTGTCTGGAGGAGAATTCTGCTCTGATCAATATGTTATTTTTCGATCAATGCGAGGTGATTGCGGGAGCAGTGTCGTAACTAACAATCAGGCCACGGACCGCACGCGATCATTTCTTCCTCTTCCTTCTCCCACCCTCTCCCCTTATGCTAACACATACGCACTACACTGTCGCACAAGTCGGAGGACAGTCGTTAGCTTAGGGCGTGTCCCCGGTGGGTCGGTGACTGGGTGCGTGAGACACCTGCAGGGGAATATTCCCCTAAATCGACGTGTGGGTCGACGCCGGCGCTCATCATACAGCGGGGAAGGAACCGCCGCCATCTCCAGGAATATCACATCGAGATCACAACCGGGCGTAATGACAGCGATCAATCAACAGGGCGTTGAGGAGGAGGAGGAGGCGGCGTTGGCGGCAGAGGCACTGACCTGCAGGTCGTCGTAGGTCCAGCGGCCCCAGCCGGTGACGACGACGCCGCGGCCGCGCGGCAGCGGGTGCAGGGCGTCGGGCAGGCGCGCCGCCGCCACCGCGCGCCCGTCCAGCGGCAGCCGCTCCGACGCCTACGCAACGACCCCCAACACTTAAGGCGCACAGGCGCTGCGCTACGCCTCCCAATCGAGGCTCCGGCCTTTGGGAGGATCATGAAACATCCTTCAGACCATTCAACTCATTTTATTCACAAGTTGTTGTTTTTCTCCAAGTCTTTGAACTTGATTTTTGAAGTCCCCGAGTCTGTCCAACTTAATTATTCTCAAATATTTTTTTACTTAATTAAAATGCGCCATTTTCATTTAAACCATTAAACAGAAACCCCATGTCCCCACCGCTTTTTTCAATGATCTCGTGACGTGGGATTCGACTCGTTAGGTAAGAGATACTATTCTATTTTTAATATGTAGTACAAAAATCTAAATATTAACTTATTGAAATCTTGCATATGGATTAAGAATACTCGCATAATGATAGAGATATAATAATGGCTCATAACATCGATGAATTTTGATGACGCAATGTCTCAAATTATGATTTAAAAAAAAACTGAATATTATATTATTAAATATTTATTCATATTTTTACATCTATCAAGAATTTACAGAGTGTTAAAAGTTAAGATCTTAACTGTGATAGCTAGGCTTTGCATTGCATCGTAAAACAAAATTACCAAAATAGCGTTATGCCACGTTGCCTGCACTTCAATTCCTTGCATTACGAAGATGCTAAGCAACGTCGACGTTGTCGTCTCGGAAGGAGGGGGCGAGGGCCCGTGACGTTTTCAACGCTCTGCAGTTTCGACTTGTCTGAGTGCGTTGGCGAATCCAATTTTTCTCTCGGGTCGTGTCGCGTCGCGTCGCGTCGCGTCGCGGGTCGGGTCGGGTCAGGTCGCGTCGCCGCCCGTCGCATTGCTTCTCATTGCGTCGTATCGCATCGCATCGCATCGCATCGCGTGGCGCGTACCTCGACGAGGCCCACGTCGTTTTCCGCGTTGTTGTCGTTGCGGCCGTACAGCACGTACTCCTCGTGTGGGATGACGCGCGCCGCCACCTGGTACTCCAGGCGCTGCTTGTTGGCCGTCCCGAAGCCCAACACCGTCCGGACGGAGTGCTTGCTGGCAGGGATGCATTTCACTTACTCAGGGTATACAGCTTTTAAAACGTATTTATTTAATTTATGAAACAGTTAAACCTATGTATGGCGGAGAGGTGTAATCTGTGCATGTTGTCTTGAGTTCTGGGATCCCTACCCTAACTCACATCCGCAAAACTAATATCGAATATACACATAAATCGATGAAAACAATGCAGCCTCCTGCCGTGTGAGAGGTGGCTATAGTTTCGTTAGATACCCAGCACCTCTGAAAAAATAATATAGTTTTGATTTTATCTGAAACCGTAGGTATTTGATTGTGATAATACTCCTAATGTCATACTGCGCTTACCGACTAAATATTCGGGGCAGCTACGACGCAGCTGACGTCACGCGACAGCAGGGATCCAACTAAGAAGTCGCCTGCTATTAAATATGTGTTGTTTCCGTGTTAAGTTATGAAACAGCTACTTCGCTGATATTCTTGGTATCTAAAAAAACTGTTGTACTATGCTACGTTATTGCAGTGTTCGTGAAGACTGGTCATGTTAAAATATTTTACCGGTCATACGCGTCTTTACCCCTGTTAACATGCAGGTTAACCCTATAGGTTTTTTAAGTGCACTTATACGTACGTATCTGAATGTACAGAATTTTAACATCCTTAGCAACTTAAATAAACAATCATCGATTCATCACAAGACAAATGATTATTAAGAAAAAAATTGGCCATGTTTGTACAAATCAGATTCATAAAACAAAATTGGTTCACGGGGTTGGTCATTGTGTTTAAATAAACAATTAGTTGCGCCAACGTTTCGAAATTTTTAATTTCTTCATCATGGCTATAGTATAAACAATGACCAGTACATGAGGACAACAAACATTACAATAAATTGATTCATAAATTAATTTGCATTTATTCAGAAGAATAATTTGCATTTATCTTTTCTCAAATCTTGGTGTAGATATATCGCGAACAACACCCCACCATATCGCAGTAACGTGCCGCAGCAACAGAATTCATTTGTTTAATATCACAGTAATGTAAATTTTCTCATAAATCGTGAGATTTTATGGTGACCGATAAATTGCTGAATATACCACGAAATGTTAGTGTTATTACTGCATCATTCACATTAAAAATGTCGACTGCGCTACACTCAGTTTCGATTTTTACCTTTTAGCTTCTACAGTAATGACACTCATAACATTTCAAGATATGTTAATAGCACTAATTTCTGGCAACGTTATACAGAGTTTTTTATTTGCCATTGTTGGGCTGTGCGAGTGCTACTTTCTAGAAAACAGTTTTGTGTGGTTGTCTTCAAAGCGATATTGCTGCTGCAGAGCACTAATACTGCATTACGTTGTTCGGAACGGAGATGGAAGGTGGAAATAATCGTTTTTCCCACGAACTGGTTAGAAAATATTCGTTCCCGTGTCACAAAAACTTTTTAAAGGCATATTAACTACAGAATTTGGATGTTATCCCTTGTTCGTACTCTAGGTGAAGGAATTGACTTAATGCCGCGAGATCACGCAGAACAATTAGTATTTGAACTGTATTCCGCACTGAGCTCAAGAAAACGTGCGCAAATAGTGAAACTACATGTCCAGATACAAAACTAGGAGATGTCTCTGCATTTGCTCAAACGAGCAAGGGAAACGGAATGCAAAATATGATCAGAAGACAGAAACATGGCATTGACTCAAAGCTGAAGTAGTATACTTGTTACAGTCATATTCAGTCTTTTAGACTTATATGATACAAATGGAAACGAATGCACTAAGTAGCATTGTTAAATTCAATATTATTTTCATTTTTATGCTCATTATGGACTGTATTTGTAGAGACATAGTTATGCAGCAGAGTTTACTGGGTACTTTGATGTGTCGATACACATTCGGTAATAATCTGTAGTATGTTATGGATTTTAAGTTGAGATGGTAACTGTTTGTTGCGCAATAACATGCAAATGCAAAACGTCATAACGGCGCTAATTTGCACTCCATGCTTACATGCAGTGCGCTGCAGTTAGAATCCACTTCTCATTGAGAATTGTTCCCCCGCAGAACAGCCCGGACGGTGGCTCGTCTCCAGGTTGAAGGAGGGAGACGATGTAGACCTAAGAAGAGAAACATCGGATTAAAGTCGTGACTCATTGGCTGAGTACAATAGAGATATGTGATTTTAGGTTATGATACAAGGTGTGATAAAAAATACGGTGAATAATTTTATTACAAACACAGTAATATGCCATGAAGAATTTGAATTAATCTCTTTCAAATTACGGTCCTTGCATAGCGATTCATTTGTCCCAAAGTTGAATCTATAACTGGCAGCATTTCCAAATGGCTTCTTTCGTAAAGAGTTTCAAATGCTGTGACGTGACCCTCTCAATGTCGGTAAGCCCGGTCCCGATGGCCGAGATCGCTAATGCAGCAGTGCCGTAGCGACCTCGGACCGAAAGCTCGCGGGTTCGAGTCTCGTCTGATTGTATTGTGTTCGTGCTTTCACCCTCTATCATCATCATCATCATCATCATCTTATCGTGTCATCCTCATAGGTACCATACCATTATACGCAATAGTGGTCCTTAATGACCTAAAAGTTGATGCGACCTTAAATAACAAAAAAAATGTCGGGAATGGGGTCAAAACGTTTTTCTTTCAGCACACTATTTATTTTTCGGGAGAGTTACGTTCAAGTCTGGTCTGGTGAGAAAGGTGGATATGGACAGATAGAAGCAATTTTCCTGGCAAACAGTTGCAAATCAGAAGCGACGTGTGCCACGACACGTTGCGATGAAGAAGGAAATCATTGGCTAATTTTTCTGGGCGTCTCATTTGCAATTTATCCGTTAAATGCTTTGCACGTACACGTACGAGCTCTCGAATAGTCTTTCGTCTGTTTGAACGCAAACCTTTTGCCACTTTTTTGCACGTTTTCATCTGGTTTTTAGGTCGAAGGACGTCTCGATCGATGTTCTCACTCGAGCGACTCATTTCGGCTATCGAATCACTCCCACTACTCGAAACAGTCTTCAGAGTTACCACATTACGTACTGATTTGAACATTTCAAGAGATTCGTTGGCGGCTTTGCCAACTTAAAAAAATACTTGTTCGAAATCCATAATACGTGGCAGGCAGCTGACTGACAAGTCAGGGCGTGTTCTAACGTGCCACTGGTGCAACAAATCAAGCTCTCAGACATATTAGGTCAATTGGGTGGAGAGGTAGCAGTTGCTGATATAAAAATTCATTCATAGTATTTTTTATCATACCTTGTATTATTTTATTCACAACTGAATTACTCAAAAGATAAATAGCTCATAACGTATAATTTAATAGGAAGAATTCTGTGACACGTAATAATTCCGATACTGACCAATAAGTGAAATGGAAGTGAATATAGAATGATGTGTTATGAACAGATTTTTGTTGGGCAAGTCGTGGGTTCTTGCCAGGAATGTTAAGTTGTCTTTGCGGATATATCCGGAATGTCCTCTATGTGAAATCGTCATTGATAATGTGAATATCTCATTGAATGAATGCGTCATCAACATAGATTAATTTATTTACATCAACGCTTCAAATGTTTTACGGCGAATGTTGTCATGGTTGAAATGTGATAGAATAGCGACAGTATTCCATATTTGAATTAATTTTTTCCATCATGTGAAATGTATTTGAAGCAGAGATGTTTCAAACCTATTAGACTTAATCATCACTACATCGTTGTCATGTAGAATAGTTAGGCATTCGAACCGGTGTTAATACCATAGGGGTGGAGCACAGCGTCTAATTGCGGATGTAATGATATGTAAGCTATTGATGCTCGTCCCCAAGAGGCTGTGCCATGGTTCACTTCTCACATCACCATGTTTCCCATCTGAACTATTCATCCCATCCGAATATCTTTCATCTCTTGTTACAATTCTTCGCTCAGTCACTCTGCCAGTCCTGACATCTGGTGCTAGAAAGGGACTGATGCAAGAAAAAAACTCCAGAAGGTTTCTTTAAAAATGCATAATATATTAACTTCAATTTTCTGAAAAACAGATTAAGCGTTAGTGGGCGTTGAAAACGGTGACTTTTT